GCTGGGGATTGAACCGCGGTCCCTGTGCTTTTGCTTAGCTTGTTCTAAGTAGGTGCTTTAGACCACTGAGCCATCTCACCAGCCCTCTGCACTCTTTATATAAAAAAAAAAACACCGAATTAAGCCTCCTACCATAGCATTTTTTACCCTTGTAGCTCCATGGCAAAGCCCTCTTGTTTGTCACCCTTACAGGTAAGGGATGTGCTCTGCTCATGTCCCTCATTTCTCCAAGGCCAAGTGTGGAAAATTTTTGCTCTTTTTAAATATTTGATATTTAAATACTTTTTGTTTTGGTTTTGGTTTTGATTTTCTGAGACAGATCTTTGCTGTGCAGCATATGCTGGCCTTGGCCTCACTGTGTAGCCCAGGCTGACCTCAAACTCACCATCCTCCTGCTTCACACTTCCAGGTGCTAGGATTACATATACTGCCATGCCTGACCCAGTAATTAAATATAGTACTGTATTGTGTACTGAAAACTAGAATACTGTTACTTAGTGTTCTACCCAGAATGCCAGAGGAAAAAGTAGAGCCTCTGAGGGGCTGAGTAAGCTTCTCAGAATTCATAACCTATCCATGAAGGTGTCAGACCCAGGCTTTATCCTTGATTTATTGTATGTCAGAGAGTAGACTTACATCCCTATGCATCCATCTTTAGTCTCTCATCCAATTTAGAGATGCCCAAAAGATAATTTGTATGCTAGAAGTTTGCATAAGAGAATTCACATGAGACATGCTTATACCATACCAGACTTCTAGAATGTGACATGCAGCTCTGCATTGTAGTTACATGGTGTTAAAAAGATGGGAAATCTGATAAACATATTGGAAGGCAGAAAAAAAAGTATGGTTTGGGCTTCTTAATTGTGCTGTAGACATATCCAGATATTAATGACAGCTATAACTCTCAGGTCCTTGATGGCACAGCTGCCTAGACATTGACACAAATCTGTAAGACTGGTTGGTGGCAGAGAGCACCTATTTTGCTGCTATTGTATTGGCAGGAACTTTTGTCTTCAGATTTTCATTCTGTCCAGTGGTCACAGGTGACCCAATCCCAGAAGTGGATGGTTATCTGTTCATTTTCATTATATTTTGTGTTTCTGACTACGAGAGAAAAGAGCTTCTTGATGGAAAGAACACTAATAGAAGTTTTCTAATTTTTACTGTGTTTTGTTGTCCTCCTAGTACTGAGCATGCTGCATAACCCACTGGGAAATGTCCTAGGAAAACCCCCCTTGAGCTTTCTGCCTTTGGATCCACTTGGGTCTGATTTGGACAAGTTTCCAGCACCACCCTCAGTTAGAGGATCTCGCTTGGACACCCGGCCCATCCTGGATTCCCGTTCTAGCAGCCCTTCTGATTCAGACACAAGTGGCTTCAGCTCTGGATCAGATCATCTCTCAGATTTGATTGTATGTTACATACTTGGGAAAAAGGATTTGAGGGTGGAATGGCCTGTTTGTGTTCAAGGGAGGAAGGTGAGGTACCTGTTTTACAGTGTGAAGTGGGATCTGTCTGCCAAAATGCAGACTGGGCCATGGGGTGATGGGGAGGAATGGAGACCATCATGCATGTCTGTGGAGCCTTTCATCCTCAACAGAATCAAGGATGCTTTGAATACCCGTGACAGTGTATTTCAGGCCCTGGACCCAGAACTCTATACTAGTTATTCCAAGAGCTATTGGAAAACAGTTCATTTCAAAAGCAAAAATGGAGCTAGTTGTGGTGGTGAATTCCTGTAATCCCAGCACTGAAGAGGCTGAGGCAGAAAGATCATCCTGAGTTCAAGGCCAGCCTAGGCTACATAGTGAGTTCAAGGAAGCCTGAATTACAAAGTGAGACCCTGTCTCAAGCACAAAAATAAGGCCCTGGCATTGTTCTTGTTTCTCTTATCGGTGTTTTTGCCCTTTAGGTATTAGCATTTATGTCCCTTTTATATATAATACCTGAAGAATTTATAAAGATCTTGTTATAAGCACCAGGATTTTAATCAAAATCTGACTCTAGATTCTATATATATATTTTTTAACTGACCCATGCCAACTTTCAGTCTAAGGCCATGGTGAATTTCTGGAATATTGCCTCAGTTATATGTATCTCATGTTCTTTACAGTCATGTTTGACAGGTGCAGTGTCCATGTTAGAGGCAGTAAATGGACTAGAGCTGTAGGGGAGAGATAGTATAGCAAGTATAGATAGAATAGCATAGACATTGTAGATACGGGGTAGAAGTAAGTATCTGTGGGATTAGCGAGAAAGCTTCTTGAAATAAAATTCAATTTCAGGTAGGTGCATTCTAAATCTTGATTCTCTATTGGCAGATCCCCTGAGCTTAATGTTCAGTAAATAGAATTGCTTTTTTTTTCTTTTTTAAACCTTCAACTTCTCCATACCTAGGACTGGTGATACTAGTCATGGTCACAGTTGCCATTCATGGCAGTTAGACCCTAGTGTGTCTTCTTGTCAGCCTGTCCTAGACTGGACATGCTGGTTTTGGTGCTTCCACTGCCCTCTGGTTTTATCTGTTCAGACTTTGTTTCAAGAAGGGCAACCACAATAGGTCTTTTCTTTCTCTGGGATCCTTTTACTGACCTGTAACATGGGTTCCTATGAACTGTTTTACATTCTGTTTGCGTGACTTCATAATAGAACTCATCTTGGAAATTTACTTTCATGACTTAACACTTGGGATTTTGTTTAAAGAACTTTCTCAGATATCCTGCCTCAGTAGTTATTTTGGGAAGGAACTAAGGATGATATTAAAGAGGAAGTATTTGAACTTACCAAAAATGTTTCACAAACTGTTTTTGTTTTTATGTCATTTGACCTCCTTATGAATGTAAGACCTTGACACCAGCAAGTAGTGTAACTTATGTTCCCATGTATTTCTTATACAATGTGGAGCTCTTGCAGAACACATTTTGGCACTATATTTCTAGGAATCTAAAGAAAGAAAAAATAAAATATGAAGAAACCACATTTTAAAATGTTCATAATTATGAAAACTTGAATATCTAAATGCTTAATAGTAGGTAAATGGTCCAGTGAAATGTAGTTCATTCCTTAAGTAAAATATGTTAAAACTTTCAATATGTAAAAAATGTTGAATGGGGAGGAAGGATAATATGCATAGACTATAACATAATTACAAGTAATCTTAAAATGCATAGGAAGGTCTAAAAATTTAATGAATATTAGGCATTTTTCATAATTTCTGTACATTTTATCACTTTGTAACAGAACTGTTCTTAAAAAGCTGTGTCTTACTTTTTCCTCCCCTAGTCAAGCCTTCGAATTTCTCCTCCTCTGCCCTTCCTGTCTCTGACAGGGAGTGGTCCAAGAGACCCCTTAAAGATGGGGGTTGGGTCCCATATAGAACAAGAGCAAGCTGCTCTGGCTGCAGTCACACCCTCCCCAACTAGTGCTTCAAAGAGATGGCCAGGAGCTTCCATGTGGCCATCCTGGGACCTCCTCGAAGCGCCCAAGGATCCCTTCAGCATAGAGAGGGAGGCCAGACTCCACCGGCAAGCTGCAGGTGAGTGTGGTGGCTCAGATGTATATGGGGCTGAGGCCTCATTCTTGAAGCACAGAAGAGAGTTTAAGTGCATAGGGAAGTTTGTAGATCTACAAAGAACTATCTGTTGAGTAAGGGACAGTTTTGAGCTTTTGAATGGAAAGAGGCAGATAATTTGGTGCACAGGGCATAGCATGAAGAGTTAGATCTGTATCTCACTTCTCTGTAGTCTGGCTGTGCTGCCCTCGCTTTTGATTCTTTCATGAGTGTCTTTATCGTGTCTGTCCTGGAAATGATGCCTGGAATTTTGTCTCCCTTGTCCCTTCTGAATTCACAGCCTTAAGAAACACAGCCCATGCTGAGGCTCTCTGCCCTAAGGCTTTCTGGTGGGCACATTTAGGGATATACTTTGGGTGGGTAGCCCATTTGTCAATCTCTAAGGTGTAGGATGTCCTCAAGTGCCATGGTCTCTTGCGGGTTAAGATGCTCTCTTTAAATGATTTTAAGCACATTAAATACTCTTGTTGTTGTTACGGAAATTGAACTCAGGATCTTGTGTTTGCCGGGCTGGTGCTTTGCCACTCAGCCATATCCCCAGCTACATTAAATATTCTTCATCATATACCAGTGCTTAAAAATAAATGAGCTAGATATGCCTTTTTTTTTTTTTTGTGGAACCTGGGATTGAACTCCGGCCCTTGCACTTGCCAAGGAAGTGCTTATTCTACTGAGCCATCTCCTTGGCCCTAGATAAGCTATTGAAAGTCTTCAGGAACATGCTTATCAACCACTGTTCCGGGGTTCTGCAGCTGGTGACTAAGTAGATGTTAGTTTCTCTGTTCCATTTATTTCCAAAGGTTTTAGTTTGTCACCTCACAAACTGGCCCAGATCTCATTCTCCTCTCACATTGCAGCTGCCCAGGTCACCTCATGGTTTTGGTGACTCATTCTTGTGCTTTCTCTTGTGCTATTGTTTTGTTATAAAGTGAATAACCATGATTTTGGGCAAATCTATTATATTTACTTCTGATTTTTGCCATAAACTGTTGCTAACAGGCCCCAGTTTCTTCTTGTAGCAACACATTGGGTCTGTCTTTTTGGGATTGCCCTACACAGCCTTTTCCTGAATTAAAAAAAAAAAAGATAGTTTTCATTTCATTGGATCTGCTAAGGAGGAGGGGAAATGGGCAAGAACAAGCCAGTCACTGCCTAGGTCAGTCTCTGGCCTAGAAATACACAGACTGAGCTGAGATTAGTTTTACAGACTGATAGAATGGGTCACCTAGAAGAGATATAGAACTATTCAGCAGTAAGTTAGGTAGCAGATAGTTCCAAACCTATAAAACAGGAAGGGTTTTTAATATGGTATTTGTGCTTCTCATTGGCATAAGAAGGAAGCTGAAGGAGGTGGGATCCATTGTGCAGAGCTAACATTAAGGAAAGCCCTGTGTCTTTTCTAATATTATGGAAAAGCTCTGGCATTTATGGGGCATGGGTTTTTTTTTGTTGTTTTGGTGTGTGTGTGTGTGTGTGTGTGTGTGTGTGTGTGTGTGTGTACCAGGAATGAAACTCAGGGCCTTGCGCTAGCCAGGCAGGTGCTTATGCCACTGAGCTATCTCTAAAAGCTGAGGAACAGCTGTGAAAGTCTGTGTCTTGTTCAGTTGCTGTTGGTGATTTCTGTTGGCAGTATTCTTGCTTCACTGATGGATGAGTTCAGCTATAAGAAAATGAGAGAACTCTAGTTCCTCATTTGAATATTAAAGAGAAGCCAGTGTGGACCAGTAGGCCTGTGGGACATTGTATGTGAATTACTGTGTTTACTTTCATGTAATAATAAACTCACATAATACTATAAGCAGTAACTAGATGAAATGCTTTATGGTTACCATATCAGTTATATCTTTGAAAATAGCTTGGAAAAAAAAGAAAGAAAATAGCTTGGGGTGTGATCATTTTTACCCTGTATTTTAGTTTTGTAGTCCTTTCAATTTTACTGGGAAAAGAGTGGTTTGGTGAGACATAAAGTTTTTTATCTTTTGGAATGGTTATAGATATTCCCCAAGATGGCCAGATTGGAACTGTGGCTAGTCTGTTTCTTTCTCAACTAATTCATCCTAGGGAAATGTGGTGACTTTGTTGATTCTCTGACCCCTTTTTCTTTGTATCCTACTACAGCTGTGAATGAAGCCACCTGTACCTGGAGTGGCCAGCTTCCTCCCCGTAACTATAAGAATCCCATCTACTCTTGTAAGGTGTTCTTAGGAGGTGTTCCTTGGGATATTACTGAAGGTGAGCTGTCTTCAGGACTGCCTGCTTCAAAGCTAAAGGTGGGGCCTTTCAGGAGCACAAACCTTAGGCTTAAGGCCAGAGGCTGAACCTGTTTCAGTACAAGGTGCTGCAGAGACTAAGAACATTTCTAGATATACTGCTGCTTGTTACCTGAGACCAGAGGTCAGCATGGACTTATTTGTCAAAAGAGGTGAACGAGGAATGGGACAAGTGGTCCTGTGCTTGTGCCTTTTCTAGAAAAGAATGGGCCTCAGTTTCTTCTGCTTTTTCTTGTCTCTCTGCAGCTGGATTGGTTAACACCTTCCGTGTTTTTGGTTCTCTGAGTGTGGAGTGGCCTGGTAAGGATGGCAAGCACCCCCGGTGTCCTCCCAAAGGTAATATGCCTAAAGGTAATAAAGACATGGTAGGAACTTTTTTTTCCCCCTCCTTAGTACATAATTGCACCAAAGGGTGCTGGGATGTCACAGCTGCATGCTGGTACTGTGGTGGGCACTCTAGGCACAGACCTTTCTGTGGTCAGCACTTCCTCTTTGGCCTCTCATATCCCCCTGTTTCTTTTTTTCCCCCTCTTTCTTCTGAACTACTCTTTTTGTCTGTCCAAGCTCACAGTGCAAGGAGCTGCCTCTGAATCCCTTTTCTCTGCAGTTCCTCTCCAGAATTGAACCCAGCAGCACCTTCCCATACTGAATGAGGTGCTGGAAAAGCTTTCCTTTGCTTGCCTGCCACTGCTCAGTTAGGTTGTTGCCTGACCTAATTTTGAGATCCCTTTGGAGTTGGCAGGAATGAGGACCAAGCATCTGATTCCTCACTGGTCTGAAATGAGATCCCTTCCCTGTAGAAAGATGCAGGTTCTATTTTAACTCTTCTCCCATCTTCATTGAACTTAACCAATGATTTAACTAGGCTTTTAAAGCTATACCTGTGTCCTCGGGTAAACTGTCTACAGACCTGTCATACCTCTTGGCTCTGCTGACAGCATACTCTGTGTTCTGGGACAGAGAACTGTGGGGCTTCAGTGGGGTCCTCTGTTTTCACTTTGCCAGGATACTCCCTTATCAATGTGGGAGATGGTGTGCATCTCTTTCCCTTGACCTGGGTATACAGCATAGCAGGTGCTTTCATTCAATAAGACTTCAGGAATAGAACAAAAATGTGTCTGGTACAAAAGCCCCCCTCTCAGAAGAAAACTCATGATGAAAAACTAAGCCTGAGGAGAAGCCATCTGAGGAATAGTAATGTACTTTTCCCTCTCATTGTGAATAGGATATGTATATCTGGTCTTCGAACTGGAGAAGTCTGTCAGGGCCCTGCTTCAGGCTTGCTCTCATGACCCGCTGAGCCCAGATGGTCTGAGTGAATATTATTTCAAAATGTCTAGCCGAAGGATGCGCTGCAAGGAGGTGAGTCAACATGGTACCCCTCTAGGTCCAAGTCATTGGCATATTGAGGCACTGGATTTCCTAGTTGGAGTAGACACACCAGGTGCAACCAAAAGTATTCTACCTGAAGCAAGAACTCTTCTCTTGTCCCAATATAAACACAATAGTATCTTCTCAGTTACATTAAGAAATCCCAACCCTGGGGCTGGGGAGATAGCTCAGTAGAATAAGCACTTGCCTATCAAGTGCAAGAGCCTGAGTTCAATCCCCAGTTCTGCAAAAAAAAAAAAAAAAAACCAACAACCTTTGAACTTTACTGGGATGGTTACAAGGTGTCTGTGCACACTCGCTTCTACATAAGGGACTATTCCAAACTTGTCTTTAAAATGAAATGTAGAGTAGCAATTTTCTCTGTTTGGACTTAATTGGTAAAAGCTCTTTCTCCATAGTCCTGATCTCAGGCTGAGCCCTCTGCTATAACCAATCCCCTCCCCATGGTGGGTACATTTCTCCTTGCTCACACCCACCTATGAGTTGTGTCTTAGTTACTCTTCTCTCGTTGCTGGGACAAATACCTGACACTCAAAATGAAGGAAGGAAAGGTTTATTTAGCTCACAGTTACTGGAGGTTTCAGTCCATACTCAGCTGGGTCCAACACAGAGCAGCACAGAGCAAAAAGCAACCTTTCGCGGTGGTGGCAAAGAGCAAGAGAGCACAAGGGAGGGGTAGCAGCAGCTCAAGATGCTAGCTTCTCTTCCCACCTTACATTGTAATGCAGATTACCTGCCCCAGGGTAGGGGAAGTACTCACACCTATGGGTACTTCCCAGTATTTACCCACCTATGGGTAATCCCAGCAGTACTAAAACCCATAATCCCAGCCTTGGATCACACATAATCCCAGTGGATCATGAGTTAACATAAACTCTAGAAGTCCTCACCCCATGACTGCATGAGCTTTGGGGGGACAACTAGACACAAACCATAACAAGTTGCTTCTTCACTTTCAATCAAGAGTTCCTAGGTGGTTCCAGTGGAGAGTTTGAGAACCTTTTTTTAAAAATTTAGTATGATGGTTTTTAAAAATCTGACTCTAGAATACATCCATATTGTCACATTGAACTAGGTATGTTATAGTTCTGAAACTTCACTTCCTAAGAGCTATGTAATGTCCAGTTGCTAGTTTATAAAATGAGAAACTTAAATTCCTTTTTTATTAAAATCACTAGTAGCTTCCAGGGGCTTATCAGAGAGGCATGAATAGATGTAACACAAAGGATATTTTGGGGCAGCAGAACTTTTTGTGTGATGCTGTAATGGTAGGTGTATTTCCTGCACATTTCCCAAACCCACAAAATGTACATCGGACATCAGAAATGAATCTTGATGTAATGAATCCTTCGGATGATAGGCACATGTCATCGCAGGTTCATTATCCCCAGGAGCTTTATGTTGGTAGTGAGGGAGTCTGAGGAAAATCTCTGCTCAGTATTACTGCGAGCCTTAAAACTACTCTATAAAGTAAAACCTGTCTTTTTAAAAACTCTGTATAGTGAAGGAAAATACTCATTTTATTGAGATGATCATATATTTAAATAAACCATCAGTAAGTCTTTTCTAAGGTATTGGTCTTATAGATGTTTCCTGGCTGCTACTGTGACCCACACAGCTCCCTGCTTTCTGTCATCTCTTGGCTACAAGCATGAGCTCATTGTAGTCCTGGACTTAGTTAACATGCTTTCCTTGTCCTCTGTTTACACACGAGCCACATGTATACATTTTACTTCTCAGCCTCTCTGTGCACACCTTCCTTTGTCCCTTCCTGTGTCATTACATCTTTCTTTGGTAACTGGCTGTAGGTTTTCCCTATTCTCTACCTCTCTGACTCTTGTACCCTCTTCCATTGTAGGTATGGTTACTATTTGACTCCTTGTCCTCTTTTCCATCTCAAACACTCCATGGTTCTATGCATAACTTTTAGACTAATTTGTCTCTCTAGCCTCCCACTGTATCTGATAGCCTCCTTCCTGTGGGCCCTTCTTTTGGATGCTGTGTAACCCCCAAACTCTTCTGTATGTAAAATGGGATTTTTGGGGCCGGGGAGATAGTTCAGTACTTACTGGCAAGCATAAGCTTCCTGACTTTGATCCCAGGTACTGAAGAAAAAAAAAAAAAAAAAAAAAAAAGGAAGTTTTCATGTGATGAAATTGGCCTCCCCTAGTAACTTCTGCCAGTTCCTCTTATCCCCAGGTCTTGTAGGCCCAGATCACATTAGTCCTGATTTTATCTTGCTTACCATGCCCAAGCAGTATGAATTCTATAGACTCTGTGGCTGCAGAATCTCCTTGTTCTTGACTTCTGTTCCCATTGCCAGCTGCCTTGTCCACGTTCACCTGTCCTCTGAATTACCATTTTAGCTTCCTTGCTGCTTTCTGCCAGAGATCTCTTCCTACTTCAAGACATTTTTAAAAGATTTCCACAGATGAATCTTCTAGAAATACATACTGCTCATTTTGTTGTGAACTCCTCCACCTGCTCTCTAGGTTTTGTCCTAAGTTAGGGCAAAGGCAAAGGACATATCAACTCCTACCTTAGAGTTACCCAGCTCTGCAAGACCTCAGAGGTGTCTGTATGATTTCCTACTCTCTTTGTCAGTGCTCCTGGCGCAAAACCTCCAATGCATAGGTTGGGCCAGTAACTATGTTACAAATATCATAAGCATGCCTATTCTTCTGTCCCTCAGGCCTCAAGCTTTTATTTTCCTTGTAAATTATTTCTTTCTCAAGAACTTATATGCTCTCTTCATTAGTGACCATGGCCCTTGGTTGGAACCATACAGTTATAATAGGGTACTGGGTTGCTGGGTATAACAGTTTGTACTTTGTTGCTTCCTTTCTAGGGTGAATGAGTGCTGCTGTTCCACTTTTATCATTCTAAATACTTGGGGGTGGGTAGAGTTCATTACTGGACACTTGTGTGCCTGAGATAGGCAGTGATGCCTTCACACTCCTGCACAGGCCTTTGTAGCCCTCATGCAGTGTCTTCAGAGCACAGGAGTCCCTCCCCCTGTCTTTGCCACTTGCTGATACACCTTTTGGGGGCTTTCAGGTGCAGGTGATCCCCTGGGTCTTGGCTGACAGCAACTTTGTCCGGAGCCCTTCTCAAAGGCTGGACCCCAGTAGGACAGTGTTTGTTGGTGCCCTGCACGGGATGCTCAATGCTGAGGCTCTGGCTGCCATCTTGAATGACCTATTTGGTGGAGTGGTGTATGCTGGGATTGACACAGATAAGCACAAGTATCCCATTGGTAAGTGTCCTAATTTTGTATGGGAAAGCTTAGGCTCATGGGAGTAGACCAAGATTGTGGTACTTCCCCTTGAGAGCAGAGTGAGGCCTGTCCCAGGCCTGCTGATCAGTGGATACCAGCAGCATAGCATCTTTCCCAAATAAGTCACCAATACTGCCCCACCTCTTAGGCAGGGGAAAAATAAGTCTTTGGAAGCTGTAAAGGTCATTGACATGAATGAGGAAGAACTTTGTTGGTAGCTCAGAGTTCACAGTTTTGGACAGATAATGGCATATTTTGTTGAAAAAAGCTACGCTTTCCTGAACTTGACCTGTTAGTTTATAGACAGGATCTCCCAAAGTTCAGGCTGGCCTTGTGGATGTCCTCCTACCTCAGCCTCCCAAAAGAGTGTAGGGATTATAGACTTTGGCACCACAGCTGGCTTTGTTTCCTTTATGAAAAGTTCTTGAAAATCTCTGATATTCCCTAGGGTCAGAGACCAAGTCAGATCAAAAGAGGGCTGTCTGGGTGACTTGGAACAAATAAAGTGCAGTCATGGCTGTGCTTTCCCACCTCAAGAAGGGTCTGGGCTGATCTGTGGGGTTCAGTCAGCCTTTGTGAGAAAGGTCAGTTCCATAGTTATTACAGAATGGCCACAGTGGTGGGTTTGGAAGGGGAACCTGGACTGTCCAATCACAATGTGGCTGACCAACCTCCCCAGATGCTTAGTCTGCCCACCCACAGTGCATCTGGTCAGGAAGGAGCACCATGTGTTCATCAGTGCTGTGCTACTGACTGAGAACAAGAACTTCAGAGGCTGCAGGGAGGAGGTGGCACTTGGCAGGATAGAGCATCTTCTGGGTCTCCTGTTGGCTCTTCAGAGTTCCTGCATGCCAGCAGGGGCTTGACTGCTGGATCTGGTCTTCAAATAGGCACTCTTTTGGCCTCTTGGTTTCCACTGTCAGCCCTTTGCCATTATCTGTGCACCTGCCTACACCAGAGGAGTCCCTTCCCTTCTAGCATCCAGGACAGTAGCCATCAGCTAACTGTGGCTATTAGTGCTTGAAATGTGGCTTCTGTCCCATGTTAAAATGGTATTTTATATACCTGGGGTTAAATAGAATGTATAATTTAAATTCAACTACTTCATTTTTATTTTGATGTGGCTACTACCAAATTAAAAAGTAAGTAGCTTATTTTACATTTCTGTTGGCAACACTGGTATAGAAACAGGGTTGTGGAATATTGAAGAGTGGCATTTGAGAGAATTTGGCTAGGAAGTAAGTTCTGGCCTTTTTGTTCTAGGGTCTGGACGAGTTACTTTCAATAATCAACGTAGTTACCTGAAAGCAGTTAGTGCTGCTTTTGTGGAGATCAAAACCACCAAGTTCACCAAGAAAGTGAGTTGTTTTGTGCCCTTACCATGGGTTATCTGAGAGAGGTTTAGGCCAGTAACTCCCTAGGGACCATCAAGGGACTAGGGAGTTGAGCCTGCTAACAAGGTTAGGGTTTGGGGTGGGCCTGGCCTTCATGGACTCAGGAAGAAGGAAACTGGTAGGGAGAAGGAAACTATCTGGGAGCTGGAGGGCAGCATCTTCCTTGTTCTGGTGTTTGTGTTGGCAAGTTCCCTGCTATGCCACCTCACCCAAATCTTCCTAACACTTACCTGTTGCTAGCTGATAGAAGGGTTGGGGGATAGTGTGCTGAGATGACCAAGCAGGAAGGTATATGTGGATTGCCTGCAAGCCTGACTGTGTAGTGTGAGTCTGTTCTCTATGATCCCTATTTTTATTCTTTCCATAATTTTCTTTAGCCTCCTGAAAACATGCAGGTATCCTACATTCTGTGTGTGGCCCAGTCGTGTGCTCTTGTCCCCCCCCCCCCCAATCTGGGTGCTGAATCCTCTTCTGTTGCTTTTTTGCAGGTTCAGATTGACCCCTATCTAGAAGATTCTCTGTGTCACATCTGCAGTTCTCAGCCTGGCCCCTTCTTCTGTCGAGATCAGGTAAGCTCCCTGACTACTAGAGATGTCTGTGAAACCGCGTCTTGATTGCTTTTCTTTCGTTACTGGGATAAGCCAACACCTAAGTTAAAGAGGGAAAGGTTTACTTAAAGCTTGTGGAGGTTTCAGTCCATATTTAGCTGGATCCAAAGCAGAGTGACACATGGCAAAGGGCAACAGTTCATGGCAACACCAGCAAGAGCAAAAGGGAGAAACAGCAGCAAGCAAGCTTCTTTCTATCCCTTATATCGTATACAGCCACTCACAACCATAATCCCAACATTGGACCATGAGTCAACCAGAAACTCTAGGAGCTTTGCCCATGACTGCATGAGGCTTTGCGGGGACATCTAGACACAAACCGTAACAAAACACCACTTCCGTGAATAATTCTTTGCTCTTTTTCATAGGGGTAGGTAGTGCTGAGGATCAAATCCAGGGCCTCACAGGTGCTAGTAGTGCTACATTCTCTTCAATTAGGAATTCTTATACCGTGTTTGTGTACCATCATTGAATATTGGAGTTCCTTTTGTTATTATTTGGCTTTTTTGAGACAGGGTCAGCCTGTAGTTCAGTCTGGCCTTGAACTATGTAGCCCAGGCTGGCCTCAACTTTGTAGTGATCCTCCTGCCTCAGCCTCCTTAGTGCTGGGATTACAGGTATGCATGACACTTGGACCTGAGTGTCGAGTTCTGAGGGATTTTTTTTAAGAGCAGAACATGAAGAAATAAGGGTACATATCATAGTCAGCTTGACCCAGAACTCTTGTGGAAGCTTGTTGACTCAAGTCCTGGTACCTTGCTTTTCCTTCCTTGGGCAGTTGCTGTGCACTATGGTATCTGGCAATGGGGTCAGCAGTACCTGTGAGTCAGGTAATGCTGCTCTAGTTCTGAGGCTCTAGAGGTTTTATTCCAGGACCCATTTTGGAGCCTCTGGACTGCTCTGGTATTTGCACTGGGGCTGTACCCTGGCTATTGTGTCTCCATCTTTAGCAGGACAAGCTTAAGCTTCTTCCATGACATCCAGACAAAGAGTGAAGTTGTATATGTTGGTCTAGAGTGCATCGTGAAAGTTGTCCGAAAGGCAGAGCAGCATGGCACCTTTCTACAGGACAGGCCTGGTGGGGAACATAGATAGATCTGGGTGTGTGGCAGCGCTTCTCAAACTTGTCACCTGAGGGTCTTGTGAATTGTACATTCAGCTTTGGGGTACCATAACTGAGATTCCCTGTTTCTAAGAGGTTTCCATGTGGCGTTTGTGTGACTCGTTAGAGCCACACTAGGACAAGGCTGGGGGGAGCCTTGGGCCTCTTAGGATACTAGCAGCCCATCCATGCTTACATGATCGATTGTTCTGCAATGATGCTGACATATTTAGAAGAGAGAGCCTAACACCTTCCCATGAAGGCACCCATAAACAATACCATGAACTTGCCATGGTTGGTCAGGCCTTGGGATGTAAAGGGCACTGAGGTGCCATGTCTTCCAGCCCCTCAGAAGCTTTTATAAGAACTAGCTTTTGCCCCAGTTCATGTGCCTTGTTCACACACACAGCCATGGCTCTCCTGTTTCTCTCCAGGTCTGCTTTAAGTATTTCTGCCGGAGCTGTTGGCACTGGCGGCACAGCATGGAAGGCCTGCGCCACCATAGCCCTCTGATGCGGAACCAGAAGAACCGAGACTCCAGCTAGAGGCATAGCAGGCAATGCCCAGTGGCCGGTGGCACTTTAGGCTTGCAGTTCAGGCAGCAGCCTGCACCGCCACTCTGCCATTGGCAACCAGGGAGCTGGCTTCCCGAGGACAAGGGAAAATCGTAGTCACCTTTGCACTTGCTGAATCTGTCTTTGTTTCTGCACTAATTAATGCACAATGAGTTTTGTCGGGTTTTGTTTTCAGGGGGTGTAAAAACCTTGTGTCTGCTCACCCTCCAAGCAACTCTGTAGTTTTCCCAGATTTTAGTTTCTCATTTTGCAGATGAAAAGCAAAAAAGGAACTGTGTCCAGGAGGTATTGACACGGATGCCTACATCTAGGTTTATTTATTAAAGCGCTGTTTTACATTCCATGCAATACTGATGGTGATGATGTGCAGGTCTCATTGGTTTCATTCTTGCAGTTGCCATACAGTGCCTTTCCATTTATTTAACCCCCACCTGAACGGCATAAACTGAGTGTTCAGCTGGTGTTTTTTACTGTAAACAAGGAGACTTTGCTCTTCATTTAAACCAAAATCATATTTCATATTTTACGCTCGAGGGTTTTTACCGGTTCCTTTTTACACTCCTTAAAACAGTTTTTAAGTCGTTTGGAACAAGAGATTTTTTCTTTCCTGGCAGCTTTTAACATTATAGCAAATTTGTGTCTGGGGGACTGCTGGTCACTGTTTCTCACAGTTGCAATCAAAGCATTTGCAACCAAGAAAAAAAATTTTTTTTGTTTTATTTGAAACTGGATTGGAAAAACGGTGTTTGAGCAACTGCTCTATATAGTTTTAAATGATTTATTGCACCTTCTTAAGTTGCACTTATGTGGGTGGGAGGGTTGATAGAAGTTTTTAATCACAAAGTCACAGGACTTTTTTCTTTTTGTAACTGAGCTTAAAAAAAAGGGCTGCTTTTTTGGTGGGAGCAGATGAAGGCTCACAGGAGCCCTTTCTCTTAGAGGGGGCAAGTACCCTTCCTTTACATCTTTCATTTGAGGAATGTATGAATCAACAGTTAAGGTTGACTGAAATGCTACTGGAATTTGAAAACTTGACTTTTCTTTCCTTTTTTTTTTTTTTTTTTTTAAATACCACTTGCCCCTCTTAGGGAAGCTGTGTGCCAAAGAACCAGTGTCATAACCCCTCCTCCCTCCTGCTGAGCTGATGTTGCATTGTTGCATATCCCAGCTACTCTGTGGGTTCGTGAAGCTGTGTGTGAAGTCTCTACCTCATTGTAGTATATGCAGGCAAGACTGCACTCTCCTACAGGTGTGTGGAGTAAGCTGTGGTGTAGTTTTTTTGGCACATAATAAACACGTTGCAGCAGAGTTCTTTTGTCTGTGTCTTGTGTGGAAGCTGGGGACAGTGGGGTGTCAGAATTGCAAAGAAAAGTACTCTTGGACTTCCTCTGGGGTGCCAGCGCAGGACGACTGCAGGACCGCGTGGGATGCCTGGCCAGAAGTACTTCTGGGCCACCTCCGTGGCCGGATGGACCTCAGAGCTACCTGCTTACCAGTGGGGCGGGTGCCTCCAATTCACACTGCACAGGGTCCCCGAGCTTAGTTTCTTTTGGGGCCCTTCACAGCTCCAGCAAGAATTTGGAGCATGGATGAGTGGGTCTGACCAGAGCCCAGGCTCAGGAAGGGATGTCCTGGGCTGGGAGCTTCGGAAGATTGGTGTGGCGGGCAGAAGAGCGCCTTCCCGCTGGGAGCGCACCGGTGGACTAGGCCTGTTTACTTAAGTGACCGACAGCTTGCAGTGTCCTCCAGTGCTCTGGGGACCTTAGCCAACCACGCTTCCAGCTGCGGAGCTCGCTTCAACAGAAGGACGGGCAGGCTAAGGGGGAGGGCACCAAATGACAAGTTGCCTACGGGCCAGGTGCGGAGGGGTCTGGCGAGTGCGTTCCCCGTATCGTCAGAGGCCTACAGCCTGCTTTCCTCTCCGGTTCTCCAGGCGTTCCCTTGGCTCCTCCAGAAGTGAGGCATTCCTCCCACCGTATATCAAAGAACCTGGTAGATCTGTGGGGCCACGCCCACTTGGGCGGGGCCTACCAGCGTCTCGCCCATTGCCGTTCCCCCCTCGCTTCGCTAGGGGCTGCTGTGGCGCTCGCGGGCTAGGCGCTGGCTGGCGGAAGTGCCTCTCTAGACGTTTTATAGCCCTCGCTGTGCTTCCTGTTTCCTCTTTCCTTGGGACCCGCCAACATGGTAGGTGTCTTCGTTTCTGGCGTGTGTCGCTCTCAATCGTCCTCCATCCGCGGCTTCTGGCCCACGAGGGAATGTCTGGGCTTCATGGGCACGGACCTTGGAGAGCTGAGGCCGCCCAGCCAGGCCCGGGGCTGTGGTCTTTCAGTTCGTGGCCCGGCCCGGGAATGCTCTCCCAGCAGCCGGGCAGACTCGATGACCCTGTCTGCTACCCTCGCAGGGCCGCGTTCGTACCAAGACAGTGAAGAAGGCAGCCCGCGTGATCATTGAGAAGTACTATACGCGCCTGGGAAACGATTTCCACACCAACAAGCGCGTGTGCGAGGAAATCGCCATCATCCCCAGCAAGAAGCTCCGCAACAAGATAGCAGGGTGAGTGGGCGGACTGGGGCTGAGGTCCGCGCCTGCTCACCGCTCGCCAGGGCGGCTTAAGGTTGCTGTCTCACCCGCGGTGCTACCGGGTCCGAAAGGCCGAAATGTGGTCTCTGGTCTTACAGTCTGGCTCCTTCTTGTCAGAGTTAACGCTCACATTTCTTTGCCATTCCTCCAAAAACTAACAGGGATATACTGTGGAAGGTTAATGAATGTACGGTAACGACAAGTAGCGCCAAATTATGTCACTTGGCCGGGCGTGGTGGCACACGCCCGTAATCCCTGCACTCAGAAGGCCAGTTTGGGCTACAGTTTGGGCTACTTAACTGAGTTCCGAAATAGCCTAAACTACACAGATCCTGTCCAAAAAACCCCAGGAAATTGTATCTGTTGTGTGGAGGCTTTGGTAAGCTTTCAAGAGAGTTTGAGTAGTGTTGAGAAAAACCGGAGAGACTGGAATGCGCAGGTAAGTAGAGGTTCGGTGTACGCTGTCTCCTGATGGTGACCCTCCGTTTTTACTGTGGAAGAGAACTAAAAATTGGCATGGAAGGTTTCAGGTGTTTTGGGTACCAGGGGAGTTGATATGTGTTCTCCTTGCTTTTCCTTGGACATGTGACCTGCAGCTATGTCACACATCTGATGAAGCGGATACAGAGGGGCCCTGTGCGGGGTATTTCCATCAAGTTGCAGGAGGAGGAGAGAGAAAGGAGAGATAATTACGTCCCTGAGGTAAACTTTCTGGATCTTCAGCTTCCAAAAGGATTTTACTTTGCCTGGGAAGGGCTGCTGAACACACACATACACAGGCTAGCTGTAGATCCGTGTAGTCTGACCGACCGAGTTAAGTCCATTCATCTGCAATTATTCGTGGTGTTTGGTGGGTGCTGTCTTGTTCTGGTTTTGTTAACAGTGTTCTGAAGTGTAAGCATAGGCTTAGGTTTTCAGAACACTCTGTAGAACAAAGCCACGACAGCTCCCGGGGCCTGGTGTCACCATAAAATACATGCTGTTGCTCACCTTGTGAGAGCCTAAGCTGCACCCCACCCTCTCTGGAGCATAATTCCTGGTTCATGTTTTGGGCCTTCCTCCTAGGTCTCAGCCTTGGATCAGGAAATCATTGAAGTAGATCCTGACACTAAAGAAATGCTGAAGCTTTTGGTGAGTATGTGCTGGATTCTCTGGTCAAGATCTCTGGGGGGTTATCTCTTAACACTGGCAGCTGTCACTGTTGTCAAGGCCAAGGCTGCTCAAATGCTGAAGGGCAGAGCTTGGAATCCCTTGTACATTGCTGGCCTGTGAACCACACTGCCTTTAAAATGGAATCGGTTAGTTAGTGAAGCTTCCTGCCTTGAGGTTACTTGGCCACAGGATAATCCATTGGCTGCTTCTGTGGCATCTAGGACCATCCATGCTATCCTGTTTCCTCTGATTGCCTTAGGTTCTGTGGCTGCTTCCTTGTGTATCCTGTCTTGTTTTGACCGTGGCTGTGCATTTTCCCTGTGCCTGGTCTCCTGGAGACTGCCTATGGTCTCAGTCCAGATCCACACCCAGTGCCATTTAGGTGGCTTTGCTTTGGGGGAATCTGAGGCTGTTTTTCTTTTGATGTGGTAAAAGTTATGAGCTTCAAAGTTAGCATGTTTTTGGTAATCGTGAGCTATATCATTAAGTTGTGTAAAAGATGAAGAACAAAATGAACTCCTGTTTATTTGGATGGACCTGTCACCCAGCTTGAGAAAAATAGTTCAGTTGCACGTTGTATGGGCTATTTTTTCTTTCTGAAATAGCCACTGTTGTGAGTACAGCTTGTGTATTGGTTGGTAGGCTTTTGGGTACTCTGGGAATCCAGGGCCTCCATCGTGATAGGTGAACACTGCACCATTGGGCTACATCCCTTATGTTCTTTAATTTTTTTTTTTTTTTTTTTTTTTTTTGCGGAACCAGGAATTGAACTCAGACCCTTGACTTGCCAGGCAAGCACTTACTCTACTGAGCCATCTCCCGGGCCCTAAATTTTGTTTTGAGATGAGGTTTCACTAAGACAAGCCATATTTGGTTTTACCCTCCCTGTGTGGTGCTGGTAGGACTTAAGTGATCCCAGAGGCTGATGCTGCGGGAGAGGCAACACTGGATCAGACTCCCAGTATCCTAGGCCAGTGGTGGCAAACCTATGGCATCTGTGTTACTGTGTGTTTAAGAAAAAGATGTGAAGATACGGGTTTTTTTCTAAACAAAAAGTGTTAGGTTAAATTTGCAGTGTTGGCACTTAGGGGAGAATAGGTGGGTTTAGGGTCACAGTTCAGTCTCTGAAAGGCTGTCGCTGGCATATAGTGTGCATGAATTTAGGCCCTGCTCACTGGTTTGAGTTAATTTAGACGTACAGCGTATATCCTTAAGTTGTTAAAGAGTATTGTTTGTGTGACTTTAAAAGCTGCTTTGTAGTAAACTACTGTTTTTCCTGCATGTTTTTTAGTCCACAATTGGCTGAGTCCGTGGCTATGGCACGGGGTGGGGGTGGGGGTGGTAACTGTTCTCTGAGACAGTGGGATTTGTCATAGAGGGTATTTGGCAGGTGGGTGCAGCTTTTAGTTTTTATCAGATAAGGTCTCACTATGTAGTTTAGGCTGACCTTAAGCTTGAAGTGATCTCCTGCCTCAGCGTTGTAAGTGCTGGGTAAGAGGTGTGAACCACCATGCCTGCTGTCATGTGGATCAAGTTTGGAAACTGCTGTACACCAGTAAGGTACAAGGTGCCCCTTGTAACAGCACTCTGGGAGCTGGGCCAGAAGGAACCTGTTTCTAACCCAGCCTCAGTGACTTGGTAGGGTTGTCTCACTCACCAGACTTTAAAATTTGTTTTAAAAATGGGAAGCCGGGGGTGTAGTTAGTGTGAAGGTTCCAGGTTCATCCCCAGCACTGCTGGAAAGGGGTGTTGCTGATGCTGAGCCCACCATGATGCCAGGCTGCTGGCAGCTACAGAGCTTGGCCTGCACAGCTGACTCTGCATCCATTCTGTTGCAGGACTTCGGCAGCCTCTCCAACCTGCAGGTCACACAGCCTACCGTCGGGATGAATTTCAAAACACCACGTGGAGCTGTTTGAATCTTTTTGCTGTGCTGTAATGTCAATAAATTTGGGACAGTGGTTTTGACTGTGTTGATGGGGTAGGAGATGGCACAGCAGGGGCCTGCTGGCCTGGGAGGACTGGGTTCCATGGGCCACACTGTGCCAGAGTGGGCTGGCAAGTTTTGGATTAGTGGTTTTGGAGGTCTTGGTTGGGATTTTTTGGCGCTGGGGGATGATTTTTTTTTTTCCCCCCCTGTATTTTAGGGAAGGGTCTACAGGGTGTTCAGGGTCTCACTACTAGGTCAGACTTGTAGTGATTCTCCTGTTTACAGCCTCCCAAGAACTGGGATTACAGGCATGGTCACCACACCCAGTCTCAATCGCCCTCTCAGCATGCCCCCAGCCCCTGTGCCTTCTTGCAGGCACTTTAATCTGCTGGGATATTTG